CATCGTGTATGGAGAATTGAAAGTAAAATCAGTCTAGTGATTTTATTACAATTGGCTGTGTCCTTTTATATTTTTATATATTTCAAGGCTCTCACTTGTCTCTCGGTCGGTATTTCAGAGGATCTAGATGGGTTTCACCTAGAATCGCATCATCGAATAAAATCTCGCATTCTGATTGGTGGAATTGCGAGTTGAAAACGAGGCTAAGTGGTATTGTAACGCATCTACGTATACATAACTATAAGTACTGCTGTTTTCTTTTTTTTTTTCTAAATTTTATTCAATTATGCGATTCAATGAAAACCATTACTTGAATCGTGAATTTCGCGTAAAATTGCACTTGAAAACCGATATTTCGCGATCAGTGCGATATCGGTTTCCGCTTGCAATTTAATGCGGAATTCCCTCGTCAAGTAATGACTCTTCCTATAGAATTTACACCTCAACTGTCAAATAAGATTCATTTTTACCGTCAACCGTCAAAACTGCAGTTTAATATTAACCGTCAAATGGTTTCAAGGTCTTCTGGATCTCTCTTTATAGAAGCCGCTTGTCAAGAATGGTTGTTCCACTCTTTTAACAAATAGAGCTCAAAATGTTCGAAATGTACTTTCAGTAGATCTGGCATAAAAAAAAATTGCGTTACTACGCGATCTGATCTCTTCATTGTTTTCCAAGCAAGGTGGTAACAGCCACTTTCACGCACTCTGGGCTCATGACGACATGGAATGGTTGCGTTACAAAGCGTTACAAAGAAAGTCGTCAAAACAGCATTAAAAGGACCGTAAACGACAAAGCAGCTACGGAGTAAAAATAAGGAGACCACACGTTTTATTCATCGCTTTAATCATCTTTTTCAATTCTTTCACAATTTTTTTAAAAATTTTCCCATTTTTTTAACGGCTCACACTTACGCTTAAAATTCGATGTTGATATGTTAGGTATTGCTGTTAATGAATTTCAGACCCCAAAATCACACACAGTACGCTTGGGCTGCCTGTAGTGTAATCACAGACGACAGTGGACGGCGCACACATACTAATAGTGACGTCACTATTGATCGAAACACCTTCAGCCCCTGTCAGAAACTCGTTGGAAAATATTCGGACAGTTTTGAAGATTGCAAAAATGTTTGTTTTTGTTGTTGTATTTTATACACCAGGCAACCGCTATAATCATTACGTCGTTTGCACATGTGCCGAGGTTTGACCGCTGTGTTCTCAGCCTGTATTGTTACCCATATCATGCGAAATACCGAACCACGGGAGGCCCAAGTTCCCCATGAGAGGATGGTATTATAAGCACCCAATGAAAGAATCATATTGTATAGCCTGTGTACAGCTTACCCTCCAAAAAGAAAATTGAGAAGGGGCGTCTGTGATTGCCGTTGAAAATCGTGTTCAAGCACCATGTGGTTTTTTCAGGAATGTGTGGAAAAGCGATTTGATTGCCTATTACCTACAAATGACCGCGTCACCAAAACAACAAGATCTGATTGGTTTAAACTTTCGCTGGTTTTAAACGTTCTTTATGTGCCTGGTTTTCACTGGCGACGCCAGCACAAGCGCAAGTACAAATACTCTTATTTCTCTTCTATTTCCGTTTTTCACGGTGATAGCAATCACAACAACTCTAAGGATCGATCTGCACAGAGGACAAAACCGTTTGTTTTACCTTAGTAATCTGTCAACACAACTTTTATTGGTGCGGACTGTTTGTCCTGCAAGGACAAAATATTGACTCGGACAAATTTATCAAAGGAGCTGCTGTCCTGCCTTGGAGGCCTAAATTTCGTTCCGTGTTATCTTCTTTTGTTTTCGTCACAGGCGTTATTGACAAGTTCCGGTTCTTTCTGACCTCTTGCTCTATCAATCACAATGAAATACACCAACGATCACCTTCAACTGATCGAGCTACACGCGTGGACTATGCTTTCTACTTGAACTGAAATCCTAACAAATGGAGTGTCTATGGTCCAATACACAATTCGCCTCAGTGGTGTAAGTGGTGCGCAGCAGAATGTGCTGGTACCATGGCAGGATAGACCGTGATAAACTTGTCGATCATTTGTCGAAAAAGCTAAGACCAGCGTGTAATTGTACAAAAATCAGGTTACTAGTATGGCAGTAACTGTCTTTAATTGCAAAACTAGAGAATTCTAAAACTTTAAAACGACTTAGAAGAGTCCTAGGAATTGGACTTGGAATAGTTTGGCAAACTGAGTTATGCGGGCTTATAGGAGCAGATCAGACGCTGACAGGAATTGACGGCTTTGAATCTTTAATTAATGCAAAGACTAAACAAAAATGTGTCATGTCAAAATGTGTCCTTTGAT